TATATATATATGTGTGTGTATATATATGGAACTTGGGGATTTTTCTATATCGTCGAGAAAAGGAACGCGTGTCGACGATTCGCAGAAGGCGGACGCCTGCATTTTTACTCTCCCTCAGACCAAGTACGACAGAAAATCGTTGATTTCCTCGCTCAATGCGGCGCCGGGGTGTGTTAGCGAGGGCCGACTGTTATAAATCAGACACACGCACCCTCTATTAGCACTCCTGTCCTCGACAGGGGGTTCTCCATGGCTAATTCAACGTTAAACGTCTTTCTGCTAATAACGATTGGTTATTATTATCGTGCCTGACCGCGAGTCGCAAGAAAAGCTCGTCAGCGTCGCCGTTGCCGGTAAACAATGCGCCTAATCGTTCGTCGAAAACGTTTCCGACTCGTTTCTCGCGTCGAACTCGCGTTTAAAAGACCGAGCCCTGATTCGAGGCAAACAGTAATAAGAGAGGCGAACCGGTCACGAACCGCACCGACACTCCGTAATTACTTCCGTTTGAGAATGAAAGTAAGGAGGTCCCGGCAGGTTAAACTTTTTAAAAACCTCAAAACTCCGACTTTTTGTTTGATGATATTGAAAATCGGAATTTAGAAGATTCTCTCTATAAAAAAGGGCATTTTAGAAAAATAAAGATGTTTGTTTAAAAAATATTCTATCGCATACATAGCAAAATGCTTTCCTCCAAACAAGTTAAAAAATGGAAAGCCTAGTAAATAGATAGAGCCTAGTAAATAAATGCATATAATTAACATTTCATATTAATTATATACATTTTTTATGCGAGTTTTCTTTCGGGGAAGCGACTTAAAAATGAAAAATATTTTTGGTATTTATGAAGTATAATTTTCAATAATTATAACGGAATGGAAAGAAAGATGAATTTTTGTTCCTTGAATACTCGGACGAACGTCTTTTTGCATTTACATAATAATCCGTCTGCAATTGGGATGTTCTCCACGTCTGGTCCCGCGAGCGGATGTTTAAGAAGCAAATGGCAATCGTCACGAGTGCCACGGCGTAATTACTTCCCATTTGAGAACGGGAGTAAGAAGATCGTCGGATGTTCTAGGTATTTTAAGAGCGGATAATTTAAGAGCGGTTCCGTTCTGTAATAAGACCGTCTGAAGTAATTGCGGAAATATCCGTGTTGCTGCCGGGAATATTTAAATCTCCGCGATCTGCGGCAGATCGATTTTCTTTTTACGGTGACCGAGTTAAACGCCGTGGTCGATATTTAACACCCAGAAGGCAAGGAGCTCTACGTGAGTCACTCCGGCTTGATAGGATCGAAACAATCCATTAGTGCTTAATTTTAACGACCGCCGGGAATTGAGCTCTAGCGCGTGCTATAACGCGCGGGATATTTACGGAGCACTCC